CCTTCCTTCCTTCCTTCCTTCCTTCCTTCCTTCCTTCCTTCCTTCCTCCCTCCCTCCCTTCCTTCCTTCCTTCTTTCAGTTGCCTCTGTCAGCTGGACCTTCACAGCAAAGGGAACAATAACCAGTGCAAATCAGACTGAGGATGCTTCTAATCACAGTTTTTTCTAGCTTTATTGTTCATTGATAATTCTTGCTGGAGCCCATGTTTGCTGTGGTAGTTGGAAAACAGTGCCTGTTTGTCAGAACTCTTTCCACATTTACCAGTGTACCTGTGTCCCATGAGCCTTCTCTGTGCTATCTACCTGTCATCTGACCACAATATCAGAGTCTTGGGTTACTATTTCCCAGTGGTTTACTATTCATGGTGATAATTTATGGATTTGTGATTTCTTAATGGTTTTAAACTTGTGATTTATCAAGTATTCCATTCCCAAGCTGTCCCAAGTTTAACCAATGGAATTTTCTTTCTATTCAGGCAACACACCTCTATCATTTCTTCATTTTTGTTTCAGTATTTTTTATTTTTGTATATAAAAATATCTAAATCTTATAGTACCTATTCTGTCCTGGTGTGGGACCATCCATCTCTCCAGAGGACTTTGGTTTCTCTCAATGAGAAATGACATTAGTGACCATGCCCCAAGTGCTAGGTGTGCTCATATTCCTGAGGTATCTGTTCTTCTGGACTTGCTGGGAAGACAAAGCTCGGAGCCCACAGCATGTGTATGCATACTCAAACACATATTAGGTACATATATGAATCACATACATACACATGCAATTGTGCATGCACAGGTGTATCTACTTATGAACATGCACAGAGCTTAGAAACTGTATTAGTCAGACTTTGTCACTGTGGCAAAACACTTGATATAAACAATGTGGGGGAGGTTTTATTTTGACTGGGAGTTTCAGAAGTCAAAGTCCAAAATGCTTAGTTAGTTACCTTGGTTCTGGGCCTGAGGTGCCACAGAACACCATCACAACTGGACTATACAACAAAGGCAACCCAAACTCATGGAAGACAAGAAGTGTAAGAAGAGGAAGGGGGCTAGGGATGACCTTGAAAGGCATGCCCCAGTGGCCTACTTCCTCCATCTAGAACTCACATGCTAAAGATTTTACCGTCTCCCAAGATAGCACCACCAGCTAGGGGGACAAGACTTCAGCACATGAGACCATAAGGGACATCTCATGTTCACATTGAGATAGAAACCATGGATTTACACAGACTCCATTGCAGTTCTTCGTGGCCTATGTTCCTACCTTCAATCATTCTGTATGTGTATACATCTTCTTCCACTGTGAATATCTGATTGCCATGAACAATCACACAATTATCATTTATTCAAATAATATATTACAGCTTCATTCTTACATAAGCATAGTGGTTCCTCATTCTTTCTTATTAAGAATTGCTGGACTCAGTAATTCTATGACTAATTATTTACCTAACAAAAAAGAGGCCATATGTTCAAAGTCTTATACAAGAATGTAGCAGATTTATTCATCATATACAAACACTGGTTATAACCCAATTGTCTCAGGAGAAAGATGGGTAACTAAAATGATGTAGTTATACAACGGAATAAAGGAACTCAGTGATAAAAAGGAACAAATTACTACTACATGTGATAACCTGGATAAACCTGGAAAACATCATGCTAGGCTTTAAAAGGTAAAGAGAAATAAAGGTCTGGTGCTATTTTAAGCAAAGCTAGTTTAGGACCAAATCAATGTCATCCTTGCTTCTGGTGGGTTGCTATTACCTGGAGAGGGAGATGAGGAAGCTTTCTAAGATGAAGGAACCATGTCTGCCTCAGTTGGGATGAACACGCACATAGGTCCGTGTGCTTGTCAAACACACTCAGTGGCTGGAATAGCTGTGCATTGCATTGTTTGTGCATTGCATTGTTTGTGCATTATAAAACTTTGGCCCAAGTGGAATGGCGGCTACTCCTGTTGGCTGAAATGAGGAACTCCCCCACCCACCTCAATTTAAAGCGGCTTGCTTTGTTTTATGATTTTCCCTGCCTCCTAACTGTCCATCCCCCCAAAATTTATCTTACCCAGAACAAAGCTCTTACCTTCTTTTAGTATTTGATTGCTTCTTTTTATCATTATTTACAACAACTCTATTTAAACATTATTTAAAACACTTTGCAACTGTGATTTTTATGCAATATCTTTTGTCTAGTCAATACAGGAGGATTAACATGGTAAAGACATGGGTGAAAATGGAAAAATGAAAAACATCTAAATGAACATTTTAGGTTAATCCTCACTTAAACCGTCACTATAGAACATAATTATGACAAGTACAGAAGAAATCAGACAAACCAGCTGCAGTGAATTCAGGACTTGCTGAATGATTTCCAGTCTTAGATGAACAAACACCATTTGGATGATCCAACGATTTTCTCAGACTTTCTCATAAATTCTGGTGGAGACCACACCCTTCATTATACATTCCTTAAAAGAGGAGATTGGCTATTTAAAATACAAGTCAGAGAACAGGACATTTGGAATAAAATAGCAGTTTACAATGAACTCACAAGATTACATGTAGGAAGGAATACAATATCTAGATGGCAGTTTCCTACTAGTCCACAATTACAACACAGAAACCTGAGAAAGGCCTTTAAAGTTGATCTGTGTTCTTATACATGATCAAGCAGCAATTTTTACACACAGTTTAGATGCATTTAAGTCCAAGAAAAAACTGTCACAGTTATAATGCTTAATGTTGGTTGTCAGCTTTGTAGGAGTTAGAATCATCCATTACAAAGACAAATCAAACCTCTGGGCATGTCAGTGAGGGACAGTCTATGTCAAGTTAATTGAGGTGGGGAGACCTGAAGACCTGACACATGCTAAAGTGGAGAAGTTCCTGTCCGGGGACTGTGGCTTTAGACTAAGGCAGAGGTGGAGGGCTGGGTACCAGTATCCATTTCCCTCCTTCCTGGTGTGCACCATCAGCTGCCTCAAGCACCTGCTTCCATGTCTTTATTCCCATGATGGATGGGGTCTCCTCTAACTACAGATCAAAATGAGTTCTTCTCTCTGAAGATGCTTTTTAGCTGATTTTGGTAACAAGGAGAACAGTGACTAACAAAAATGGCTTTCACATTTGCCTTACCCACAGAGCAGCCAAATAAACTCCCTGAGAGATTTGGCTTGGTTTATCTATAATGGGGACTTTGTACTGGAACTGACTCCTGTACATCTATTGTGCAGCAAGGGCTAAAACCCAATGCACATTAAAAGAAATATTCAGAACGCTAGAGAATTGCATGTATATTTGTTGTGTGCATTAACTAGTGAGCACAGACCCACAGTCTTAACGTTCCCTTAGAGTCCATCTGGTGGGCTCCTTCTCCTCACTCTGATCTGCTAACTAAAGAGGTCTCCATAGCTCAGAGCTTAGGCTGCATTTTTGGGGGGAGAGGTATGGTTTAGGGTAAGTTCCTATGAACTCCTGAAAACAAAGCACTTTTACTACAATCGTCTATAACTGAGCATGCCAGGATTTTACTTTTGAAGTATAAGCTTCTTTTTTTGGATGTAAGTTTAAACAAGTGACATTCATCTCTATTTTCATTAAGTTTAATTGCTTAGATATTACCACTTAAAAATCTTGACTTGTAGGACTCAAACATTAATTTTTTAAAATGGTTTTTCACTCTAGCACTAACTGCTGACTTTATTTTGGGTGTTGTTGTATATTTGTATTCTAAAGAAAAGGGGCATTTTGAAACGCGCACGAGCAATGTATGTGTAGAGCACTATCCCTGCCTTGGGAACTGGGAATGTTCTCACCACTACCATCTTCCCATTCAGCAGCTTCCTCTTTATGGTTGTCTCTTTACCATCCCACTTCTGCACTTGCTTCAGGGAACCTCTCTCCAGCGTCACGATGCTCTACAAAGACAAATTTATGTGCTTGGCTTACCTCAGTTTCCATGACAGGTGTCTCAACAAGTCACATCCATTCTCCAAGTAGCTAACTCTCAGAAGGAATAATCCTGCCTTTCAATAGTCCACAAGACTATTTATTTCAAGAAAAAAATGTTACAGATTACCTTGGTTTTCCTGTTGTCAGCTGTGGTTTCGTCAAACTCCTGGCCCAACTTGAAGGAAATCTCTGTGTTTTTAAAGGTGCTTTCAGTTCTAATGGTGATATAATCCCCCTTCTTGCTGATGACCACAGTGGGCTTAGCCAAGTTTCCCAATTTTCTGTTGGCTAACCCCACACCTGAAAAGCAAGGCTACATCAGATTGTGTTGGGTAAAGTTGGCATATCTGAGAGCCAGACTTCATGTCCACAGGTTTCATATTCTTTATTCAGTGGTAACTTCAATGAGTAGATGGTGGGGCTTCCTACCAAGGGCTTCCTCCCAAGTTACAACAACGAGAGAAAATGCATGTTAGCGACACAAGCATTTTTGTGTACTGAAACAACAATGATGCCTACAGGGTTTACAGCATAAAACTACACAGCTAAAAGTTTAGTCTGTCCCCTCTGTCATGTCCAGTGGTACCCTCACCATAAAATAAGTCATTTCAGATTTGTATGAAGCATTAGAGACAGTTGAGCTTGTATTTACAAACATTATAGCTACCTTCAGCATGACTACCTCTGTCCACACACGCCTTTCTATAATACTTTTTCTGTCCAAAAAGGAGCTATGGGTATACAGACCCCCCCCCCATATCCTTGGTAGAATCTTACTTTTGACGTTTTGTAGTTCCATAATATGCCCGGTAAGAAGAACAAAACAGAACAAAATGTCCACCACACTCTTCTGTTTGTCAGCCCTGCTCAACACTAGGATGGGCAGATGTTGGTGGGACGGAGTTTGAACTGACAGCAGCCAACCAGTTCTTTTGATCTCAACAACTTTAACAGATTTTAAGCATCCTCATCTAAAAAATGTATCATCTGTCAAGCTTCACTCACTTAAATGATTATTTAATTACAGACAAACTCAAAGCAGAGAGAGACACGAAATTTTTAGTTTGGATAAAGGTTACTATTTTAAATTGTGGTTTCTTAGTATTCAACTCATAATCTTATGACCACATTAATTTCTATTAAACAAGCTTTCAGAAAATGCCAGAATATGGATTGACCCAAACTCTAATAGTTTTCCCCAAATTTCCAATGACAAATCTGTGACACTGCTTTCAAGTTCCATGCATTTAAATAGGTTCATTTAAGTTCTAAAAATTTATTGCCAGTGAAATGAAAGTAAGTTGTATGAATGAGATAGAAGATTGCACTCAGCCCATGAGACATTCCCCAGACTCCTGGGGGAACACTGGAAGATAAACCTATGCATCTGCCTTCAAGGGACATCTGCTAGGAAGCACTTCTCACCCAGAGCTCTCATGTAGTCATCAAAGTGCTCGCTGGAGACAAGCTTCCAGGTGCCGAGGAATTTGTTGCTCATTGTGATGGATGAGAGAGTTCAGTAGAGTTCCTGGTGGGATGCAGCAGATGCCTGTGAGATGCTGAGATCTTGCACAATTCTTTTCAAAGAAACTCAAAACATGTGACTCACCCTGAGAACCAATGAGGAAAGATGGTGACCAGGCTGAGTGATGAATGGCTCTTAAGTCATAAACTGCCTATCCATGGGTGAAAGAAACCACCACACAATGTCCCTGTGTTTCCAAAACCATGAAAATAGCTGAAAGTATTGATAGCCATGCTTAAGTCCTTTTATATATGATTGTGTGTGTGTATGTGTGTGTGTACATGCACACATGCGTGCACGTGTGTAGGCATCTTACTTTTAATTTTGATTCTGCACAATTAAGAGCTCTTGTTTCATATTATTTTTATTGATTATTTGGAAATTTCATAAATATACCCTGATCACACCCATTTCCAGTCCTCTCAGGTCTTCTCCTGACACTTATGATCACCCCTTTTAAGAAGATGGAGGAGGAAGAGGATGAGGAGGAGGAAGAAGAGAAGAGGAGGAGGAGGAGGAAGAAGAAGAGGAGGAAGAGGAGGAGGAGGAGGAAAGTTCAATTTGTGCTGTTCATATACTCACTGGAGCATCTTTATGACAAGTTTTAAGAGTTCTCTTCAATGGTTTTCCTATCTAGGTTGTTACTTTTTTAGGTTGTAGGATTGGGTGTGGTAGGAGTTGTCACAGAATTCTTAAAAGGGGGCACAGTCTGTGAGTATTGTAATAAGAGCACCAAGTATGCCGTGGGAGGGAAATGAAGGCCAGCAATTTGAGGACACACTCAGAGGTGAGGGAGGCTTGGCATAGTTTACATATTCTTGGCAGGCAGAGTAGGCAGACAAGAAAGTCAGTCTGTCATGCAGAGCACAGACCTTATATTCATGGATCAGGATGAGAAGCAGCACTGTAGCATGCCCTTTGACTGTGGGTTAAATCTCATCTCTTTTTAAAAGCAAACCTGAGGATAATAATTCTTAGTTTATATGACAATCTTGAATTTAAAGCATTTTATAAAAAGTCCACAGATTTTATAGAGAAATGATTTCCTACAAAATAATCCTAATGAACTCTGAGAGCTCAGTGTAGGACGGTCCCATGTGATGTGCTTAGTTCAGTTTGTCTCATTTCACTCTCTCAGCCCCACGAGAGACACACAATATTGTTAGTTCAGCTTGAGAAAAGAAAACTCCATCTTGAAGTTAGACAATTTATTGCAAAACTAAAGCAAAAGTCCGGATTTAAACTAGCATTGTTCCCCAGTGCTCGACTCTGCCTCTGGACTAGCATCTCCCAACACACACACACCCACATACACACACCCAAAAGCATACACATGTGCATATACATGCACACATATATACGTATGTGTGCACACACATGCACATACGTGTGCATACACACACATATATATACATGCACAAGTAAATATGTGCACTCACACACAAGCATACACATGCACATACACATGCACACACATACAATGTGTGCATGCACACACACAAGCACACATACATGCACACACAAACATACACATGCATACACACACACATACATGCACACAGTCATATGAACACACACAGATCCTGATATCACCATGACTTTTTAGTAGTACTCTCTCTTCTCAGTATCACAAGCAACAGTCAAGTAAACCAGATGACATACCAGAGTCCCAGTCTTTGACTGGGGGTGCAAATGTCAATCTAGTTTATACATACATGTTGTTCCCAAGAATGTCTGGACAGCTGCCATGCCTTTGTAGCCAGTTTTCTACACTAGTGTTACCTCTGGCTGAGTGACAACTAATATCACCAGATTTTACAGTTTTGGCTCAGAAGTTACCAGTGCTCACAGCCATGGAAGTGAATACCCCACAATCAGGTCACTTCTAACCTATAGAATCCTGGGGTTCAAAGGCTCAAGCCCCCAGTACTTGATTATCACTATCGCAGTCATGTGGTTTGGTGGCTTGGCTTCAAACTGACTGAGAAGTGGGGAATCACATACCGTGGGTCTCATCTTCCACTACCATTGTCTAGTTAACGCAACATGGGGCCTGAGTAAACAAGAAGTTCCTTAGCAAAGCAATCTGCTCCCAAACCCAAGGTGATATAAGTGCAGAAAGCCCACTGTACTGGAATAGAGAGAAAACAGCGATTAAGGGGGCCATTTGGAAAGCTAAGTCAGGAAGCTCTCAAATTCAAGACCTTTAGGATACACAGTGAAGCACTGAGCAGTGAATATGATAACTTCTTTCCCCAAAGCTTTTTGGAAATGATGGTATCCTTCAGACCTCCAAGGCTTTTGTTGTTCTTACTCTATTAAGAAGTACAATAGTCAGGACTTCCGGTCTGGGCCCGAGCATAGAGCAGGTCACAAGCAGCAGCTCCGTATCCAACCCCAGAAAACCGAGAGAAAGAGGGACTCCCAGAAGCTTTAACTCAGGCAGCATCCCAGGTAAAAATGAATCACCCGTGATGTCTGCGGTTAGAAGTTCTAACCAGATGCTGGCCTCTGAACTTATACTACTCAGACCTTTGAAGGGCCACTGACAAGAACATCAAACAGCTAGAGATTGACATCACTAATCTGAAGAAATCCCTCGTTTCGCCGTCTGAAGAGACCTCCTAAAATCGCAAAGATCCTTACTGGACTTGATTTACTCTAGTACAATAGAAAAGACTGTATACAGCTCTTGACTGTGTACAACCCTCAAAGAAGAATGTTGCCTTTACATAGACAAGACAAGGAGGGTTAAAGAGAGCCTGAAATTGGTAGTGAAGCCTAAGAAAAATCAGAGAGAGAAAGAGACAGATGAATGCTGGTACAAGAATTGGTTTTCAGCCTCTCCAAGGTTGTCAACCCTATTTCCTCCCATGTTGGGACCATTATTTGGGTTCTTTTTGCTTTTTTTCTGCTGGTCCCTGGCTCTCAAATAGGCGGACTAACTCTGTGATACAACAGATAAATAATTTGGTAGCAAAACCTACTCAGATACATTATCATAAGTTAGCTATGGAGGACCATGAGACTCAAGATGAGGTTGTTACTTTATACAGGGTGTTTCCAAAACCCATCTCTACCCAACCTAAAAGGGGGGACTTCTGCCCCTAGACCAAGCAGAGAAAGGCCACCCAGAACCCCCTCTGACTGGCGATCTGAATTCTTGCTTAGGCTGCGAGGCTAAGCACTGCAAGGGAATATCAATAAAAGTTAAAAATATCTCTTTGGGTTCCCTGAGGGACAAGCCTGACTGCATAGGGGTTGATGTCAAAAGTATCCCCTCTCCAGGAAAAAGACATTGGGATGGGTATGACCCTCATGCCTCACTGGACAACGACAGGGGGACTGGAGCCATTACAAGGTCCCCTTCAATTACTGGAGGTCAGGCCTCTATCCCTGCCTTCGAAAGATTAGATTGGCCACAACCCTTCTATACTTAGAGGAGGAAGGAGATGTCAAGGGCATCCCTGCTTACACACTGAAGGCCTAAAATCAGCCATAGGCCTAAAATCAGCAATAGGCCTGTCATACATGTATACAAACACCAAGTCTTGGGTCTCAGTGGGAAAACATTAAAACAGATGGCTGTAAGCTAATGTCAACAGGCAGCTTTTGTGAAAATTTATAAGCCTGAGTAGTCATAGACCTTGTAAATAGGTAGGCTTGATGGACAATACCAACTTAGATAAGGACAATCGAGTCATAGGCAGAGTCATAGTGACTTGTCCCCTGAACCTTCACCCAGCCGATACCCTGTTCTGAAAAATATCTGTATTCCCCCTGAACACCCATATTCCAGTGTCATTCCCTTCCCCACATCCTGCCTTTCTGTATTTATACCCCTGTGTGAATTATGATTTGAGAAAAAATTTTAAAAAAAGAAGTACAATAGTCAATTTGTAGGTTTTTTTCTGCCCAAGTAAGTGAAAGTTTTCATATCACCCTACCAGAGCTAAGTTTTCAGGCAGATTACAATAGAAAATTTGTGTGAATTTCAATAATCCCTGAGTTGAGCATAAGAATAACTGTGGAGTTCAAGATTTACAATAAGCCATATTAAAATGAATCAATGGCCAAATAATGGGCAAAGCCATTCATAATATTGACATGGTAGAATATTTACAACATTGATGCACTTTTAGATCAAGGAAATAGTATCTTTTAGGCCAATCACCTATTGTATCTGACTACCAAAGTGGACAGCATATACTTGGATCAAGATGAGATTCTGAGGGCAATGTATGGGCCAAAGATACAAATGGAAGCCACGGGGAATCTGAACTGAAGAGAGCTTGAGTCATTGGAAGACTCATCATAAATGCCCTGGACAGAAGGTGAAGAACAGAGACCAGAAACGATCCTAACTGGACATGGATCCTAAGACTTAAACTAAATTTTAGGAAAGTAGATAAAATTTTGTTATACTGTGGACTTGATCCTTTTCCATTCAACAGTTGATTACCCATGTTAATTCTTGACACAAGTAAAGCTTTTGAATCATACACTGAAAATCACACCAAAAGACTCAAAGAGGTGGATGAGGGAAGAAGCATGCTCATAAAACACGTCCTGTGCTTTACGACCTGTTTTCTGGCTGCATTACAGTCTGTCATTTCAGATGAGAAATAGTCACTGGAGTATTTGTGGAACTCAGAGGACAACGTTGGTTTTCAATCCTTGCCTCCTGCCTCATTTGAGACCCTGTCCAGTGAACTGCCTGGCATTTTCTTGTCTCCACTTGTTATCTTGCTGGAGGGATTCTGGGGTAACAGGTGTCAGCTTGCATCTCTAGCTGGAGATTTAAACTCAAGTCCTTTACTCGTGCACAGCAACCTCGCTGAATCACTTCTGAAACCCTCATTTATTTAGGCTCTTGGATGTATTATGAGCACTAATGTGATTCCTTCACCTTCAGAGAGTAGTCAACTAGACATCATGTTCTTATCAAGCTTCATTGTGGAGCCAAATATCCA